GGGTGAACCCTAATAGCTGCAGAAAGCCTCATTGAAGTCAAGGCAGACAAGGTTCCTTGGGTGAATTTGATATCTTTTATTAGACCAACCCAAATAGTTGGAGAATAGTTATTAAGCAAGCTTTCGGGTTTAAAAACCCTTCATCAGGCTAAGGAAGTTTCAGCAGTTGGTGTGTGCTCTTTCTGGATGGAATGAAAAGTCAAGGCACTTCATCTGGGTCCCAGGTCTGTCTTTACAGAGATGCTTGCAGGGTTAAGGTCAAAGTTCTTTCCAGGTAAACCCCAAGTCACAGTGAGGTCACGACTGGATTTTACATATTTCTGATTTTCAACCTTACTTGGTAGAGAAGGTGATACTTGCGTGTACACATAAGTGTTTTTTTCCCCTCCCTTCTCCCCCTTCATTAATTGAGTTGTGAGGAGAACAAGTGGTTGTGGGCTCCAGACAGAGCTGTCTGGATATGTGTTTTTCATCTTAGCAAGTACAGACAAAAATCAAGACAGTTGGTTAGCATGAGGTTTTGTTGAAATGTGTTTTTTCAGCATGTGAGCATGTGAAATGTTTATTTATTGCCTGTGAATACATGTGTGCAGGGCATCTTATGATATATCAGCTAGTCCCTAAGGTGCCCCCATTGCCCTGCCTTTTGCCATATTATGAGAGAAGCTAGTCCCATTCCAACATATGTTTGCCCAACACTTTCAATTATTAAAACCTATGTTCAGTTGTTTATAATTTTGCCAGACTTTAATTTTATCCCCTGAAGTTTTCCATGCCAGCTATTTGCCTCAGGCTGCCTCCCCCTTGTGCCACCCCATTCCCCCGCCTAAATTCAATTAAAGCAGTTCAGTTATTTCTGAGAATGGGGCTAGGGAAATTACACTGTATTATCTGTGTTAACTATTTCTGGTGATCTTTTCTTTGGGAAGTTTTAACATTTTCATGCTTTGGAACAGACTATATTTGGCTAAGGCAGTGTCCCAAGAAAGTAGTGTCCTCCCTGTGAAAATCTGCCCAGATTTGACCAAGAGAGTCTATACAAGCGCTGAGATTATTCAAAGTTTAGCAGTTAAAACCTCCAAAGTTTCCAGCTGCATTGAAAATGCTTGTGCCTCTCATAGCTCCCTGTGCTGACCAGAGAGTCCCTGAACCCTCCCCTCACAAAGCCGCAAGCAAGATCCTTCTCTGAACCAAAGTGCTGTTTTGAACTTTTGCTCTAATGGCTACTCCCACTTGGTCTGAGATGGGCCAGACGCAGAAATAAAAGGAGGAAGTCTCTCTTTCTCGTTTTCACTGACTTTCCTGCTAATGCTCAGGCAGTATGGAAGAGGAAGTTACCCAAACAGAAGGCCCAAGTTAGACGGTGGCATGGGTGGGGAGGACAGGAAAAATCTGAGACAAGGAATCCATTGAGCCTGGGACGGGAGAGTGGAGAGGAACTAGCACTGAGATTGAGGCACTATTCAGCCTTTCTCTGGGTGGTCCTAACAGATGTAAACCAAAAGATTTTACTTTTAGATTTGAGATATGGAATAATAGATGGTTCAGTTGGCTGGTTGAGGATCAGCATTTTGTGTGTCTTTCTCCCCCCACCATTTTTGTTAATGAATGGTAAACCTCTGGTCTGTCTTTATTTCATTGGTCTGTATAATAAAACCCTGTAAGACTAGGGACGGACATTACACATAAACCGGTTTAAGTGATCAGAAACTTGTTTAAACCTGTAACAGAACAGATGTTCAGTGCACATAAACGAGTTTGAAAGTGGCTGAAACCGGTTTGAGATAAACCTGGTTGAATGTCATATCAGACTTAATTGATTTGGGTCAAACTGGTTTATGCAATGTCTGTCCTAGACCCCTTGCTGGTTTAAGTTAAATCAGACTCTGCCAGCATGCTCTCTGGGCTGGGCAGGGCTCTCTGCTCCACAGCAGGGCTGGCCCCTCCCCTCTGCTCCCTGGCTGCAACTCTGGCAGAGACTTGCAGGCACAGCAACATCTGCCTGCTTTCCCCTTGCTTTCCCACTCCCCTCCCCACTCCCTGCTAAGCAGGGATCCCTGTCCCCTCTGCCTTATACAACACACCTCAGCATTAGCTAGCAGAACCGTGCTGGCTATGGTCTGTGCTGCGGCAGACAGCAGTGTCAGCTTAAGGCTTTTTGAAGCTAATCAAAGCTCAGCTGATAATGTCCCTCTGTTCTTTCTTTGTTTAAGAAGAGTTTGAACTGATGAGAGAGGCTGGTTGTTTTCTGATGGGGTGATAAATGCTGATAACCGCGCTGATAAATGCTCTGTTATCATTCAAAGAGGGGGGAACACACCTCCCTAATCCTGCTGGGGCCTGGCCACGCCCCCCTCAGCTCAGCTCTGTTCAAGGGGAGGGCTGCTCTAGCGCCCCCACAACTTCTAGCCTGAGCCACTGCAGGCACGTGCCTGCATTTCTGGGATGTCCATGCAGTTACAAAGTGATTCAGCCTAGCCAGGTTAGACTAACCTGCAAAGATTGAATCAATTCAGGCTCAGGATTTTTGAATATCTGTCCCTAGCCTAAAAGGAGCCCCTGTATAACAGGGAACCTAGGGCTCCTGTTACTTCAAGAGGGAGAAAAAACTGCATGGAGAGCCTCAGGTAAGGAAGTCTGCTCCCTAGGAGCTCCAAACAGGAGGTCCCAAGTGGTTTATAAATTGAAACTGTTTATTGCTGAACTAACTGCTCTGCCATAATACAGCTGGGTAGAGCCCAGCAGGGAAAGCAGGGCACTACTGCAGCAGCTAGGCAACAGTAGGAAGCTGCTATAGAGTTAAGCCAGCAAATCCAACTAAAGAACACCTATGGCTAGCCCAGGGAAGTCACCTGACCAGAAAGGGAAGTGCCTGGGAGACATAAATCCAAGGCTTGAGCCAGGGCAGACAGTCTGGCTCTGTAGGTTGCAAGGAAGGAGCTGGGGCTTAAGTTACTGACCAAAACCCTGCAGAAATGGGGACTGAATAAGGGACTGAAGGCTTACAAGGAGCTAAACCCCAGGAGGAGAAGTGTTTTGGTTACATTGCCAACATGTTTAGAGTTTTTATTATAGCCAGTAGGCTTATTGTTTTGTTGAGGTTACTACTAGTGGACCAGATTTGGGACTAGTAGGGGGAGGCAGAGGTCCCAATAGTGCCTGAGGTGCACAGTGCTGAGGAGAGCAGAGGCAAGGCCAGGGGGCCTGATGCCCAAGAAAGGCAGAGACAGTGCCAGGGATGCAGTGTACAAGAAGAGTGGAGAAAGGTTTGGGAGTCCAGTGTCTGAGAAGGGCAGCAACTAGGTTCAGGGGCCCAGTATCCAAGAAGGCTGAGACAAGACCCTTGAGAGGAGCTGAGAATGAAGAAGAAATAGAGGCCTGAGACCAAAAGGGCCAGAGCAGAAGCCTGAGAGAGAGGCAATAGTGGGCCTGAGGCCAAGAGGGCCTGGAAAGCAGCAAAAACTTAGAACGAATGGAAGGCAGACTAGGGACTGGAGCCTGGAAGTCAAGTCTGGTGTAGTGAGCTGAGGCAAGAGGGTCCAGCTCCAGGAAGGGGGCAGAGGCTGAGGCGGCCAAGGCCCCAACAGGGGAAGAGAGGCCTGAAGTTGCCTGATATTGACTTGGGGCAAAGTGCCACACCTGGGAGCTAGGGATATGACTGTAGTGCTGGGCTGGGCAAAATGCGGCTCACGGGCCAGATGCGGCCCGTCAGACCATTCTATCTGGTGGGGCTACCAGGGGGTGTCACAGCTGCCCCAGGGACTTGGTCCTGCTAAACCTTGCTTTAAAAATCTTGTAACCCTGGCACATGGCACTACCCATGTGCCATGTCTGAGTGTGGGAATCCTGGGGTGCCCAGTAGTGTAAGCCTCACTTGGCTCTCCTAGCAGCCGACATGGGGCTTTCCAACAAGGAGGGCCCCTTTTACACTTACAAAACCTTTGCAACCACCAGTATAATTATTTACAAATATTTAATTATATACAATTGAATTGTATACAGAATAAGATATAACTAAAGCAGATACAAATTACAAATTGCTACTAAAATAACTCTATATACAGTACACAAAAGGAGCATTGGTGGTTCAGGGATAGTCACTTGGGTGGCTACGGGGCTCACAAGCTGATAACCTCTCAGGTGTGATATAGGTTAAAGGAGAAGTATAAACAATAATTAGATGTTGAAGCAGTAATAAATAAATTGCTTAATATTTACAACATGAGCTATTGGATACTTATTTACAAACACTACTAATGACCTTTTTGCGCAATGAATTTACACACAATCCCCAGCTCCTCCCATTGCACTGTGCTGGGTCCTTCATGGCTGGGGTCCTCCCATGTTGGTCCAGGCATCACGGCAGCTGCTCCCATGTCTGGGTCCCTGCAACACACAATGTGCACTGCCTCAGTACAGTGGGCCATGCAGCTCAGGCTGAAGGCTAAAGCAGAAACATTTCTCCCGTGGGTGAACACATGGGTGCACTGGTTTTGACTCCTGCAGCCTGCGCCTCTCCCTTTAGGTCACACACACATGGACGAACGGAGGCTAGTTTGCTGAATCTCGCCTCCCCTTGTCTGAGCACTGGGATGTGCTGGGCCAGGCTTCTGCAGCTGCACAGCCCTCCCTAAAATCACACACACGCTAACTGGGGGCTTGCTTCCCCACAAGCAAACTCATGTGCTCCTCAGGCAGCTGCCTGAAGGGATCAGCCTACTCTCTCCGAAGCACCTGCTTGAGTCCTGGGGCTGTGAGTTCACCTCTGACATGTTGGTAGCTAACCACAGCTCCTGCGGGCTCCAGGGGGACAGTCAGTACAACTGGGCTCGAGCAGCCCGCTCTCTGCAGTGTACGCCCTTCTCTCCTCCTCCCCCACACTCTGAGTGGGTAAAACTCCCTGCCTTTGAAGAAACCCTCCCAGCCAATCCAGAGGATGGGATTTTTGTGGGCTCTCCCTAACCGTCCCTCTCTGATTTCAAATCCCTGGCTGGGGTTTTTCCATTCTTTCCTTTTATCAAGATGTCCCTGTCTGGGGCAGCTTCATTTTGCCCTGAGTACTGGGTCCCCGTTGGGACAAACTTTCTTTGCCCTAGTACAGCATCTCCAAAGAGACAAGCCTTGTCGTGGGACACCCTCCGGTCAGGTAAGTAACCCTTCAATGTCTGGTACAAACTCTCTCATCTTCTGATGTTGGAAGATTGTATCATACCTCCAGGTATATTTTGAGTCAAACTGGGTGCATCTACATGTGCATATTAGGGTGTAGCAATAAACTCTGGTGCATGTCGTTCTGGAATTCATTGCTCCCAGGTGCCACATTTACAAGTCTGCCTGGGACTGCAGCATGTTAAGCTGGGTCAGAGCAGCCCCAGCTGGGAGGTTGACCTGCTCGCCCAGGGCTGCCCTAACCCAGCTCAATATGCTGCGTAGCGACTGGCTGGGGCATGAGGGGGGTTCAATG